GCTGTGCCGTCCTTTTGTATAGCCGAGCCGCAGAAGGGTTATCCCCTCCCGCGGAAGTTCAAAACCCTGCAAAACCTCGTACACTTTGCTGTGCCTAGCCTTTAGGGCGTAGTCCGCAAGGTGGGAGGGGGGGGGAAGTCTGTTAGCATGAGCTAATGAATGTTTGCAACCTGTTACTGTCGCTCGCCACCTTGCAGATTTCGAGAGGATGTCTTCCTGAACAGCCGAGCCGCCTGGGGAAAATTCCCAAGGGGGAAAGAGTTAGACACCCACGGACTGCGGGTGCGCGCGTGCGCGCGGGAGGCTAGGTCTGGACGCACCTAGTCTTTCCAGCCTGGTGGAGAGAGAGAGAGAGAGAGAGAGAGAGAGAGAGAGAGAGAGAGTGAGAGAGGGACGGCTGTCGGTAGGGACCTTACCTTAGTGCTTTGCTGTACCCTCGAGCTGCCATGTCCGAAGTGAGGTTCAGGGTGGGGGTGGGCAGGAGTAAGGCAGTGTCGTGCAAGGCTTCCGTTCGGGATAAGGTGGGGAGGCAGGTGAGGTGGGGTGTCAAAGTGCCGTGAGCCGAGGCTTCGGGGGTGGGGTGGGAAGGTGCCAGGCAGTGCTGCGGAGGTTTTGTTCGGTGTCAGGTGGGGAGGCAGGTAGGTTGGGTTAATCCGGTAGAGTGGCCTTGAGCATATTGGTGCCGGCCTGTGAACTCAGTAGGTGGTTGCATGGCGTAGTGTTGTTGATGAGGGGTGTTTGCTTGTGTATACCGGCACCAACGAGAAACCATCGCCGAGTGGAGCTTGAGCGATGGCCCAGTCAAACACAGAGTGGAGTGCCCAGGTGAACATAGAGTGGGGTTTCATGGTCAGGGCCTTAGGAGGGGTGTTCTTTCAGGGGGGGTTTGATTGTGCTCACCTGGGGGGAACACTGCTGCAAGCCCCAAAAAGGGGATTCGACAGACGCGAACCGTTGTAGGGTTGGCCTTCGGGCCGGGGGTTTTGACCCCAAACCCCTAGCAAGCAAGCAAGCAAGAGAGGGACGGCGAGGTCGTGCAAGCAAGCAAGCAAGTAACGGAAGGAGAAGAAAAAGAGGGAGAGAGAGAGAGAGCGAGCGAAACGGCTGCCCATGGCCTTCCTTGAGCAAAGCAAAGCAATATCAAAGAGGTGGCCGCGTGTTGCAAATGGTCTTGCTGGCTTGAAGCAGCTTTTCCCGCCATGATTTGCGACAGCACGCAGGAGCTCGATGCAAAAGCGATTGCTGTTGCTTGTCTTCTGTCTCCTGCTCGGAGTTTCGTGTGCACTTGCAACCCTTGGGCAAATGGTGTGCAAACGTTGAGGTCTCTCACAGATCAGCTTTGGGACCTATGATGCAGAACGAAAGATCGAGCATGCACGCTTGTATGGGTGCAGACCTCAAGCTGGGTTGGTCATAATGCATCAGCGCAAGTCTGTTGAATAGTCATGTTGTTTCGAGATGTTCAGGCTGAGTAAACTTTGCCAACTCCTGGGACTTTCTTGCGATGCCCAAAATTCAAAAGCCACCAAAGAAGGGCAACAAGAAACGTAGATGGATATTGTGCGCAGCTTTCCAAAATCATTTCTCGCGGGTCGAAGTTGCGCCACAGATGACCAAAGTTGGGCCACAGATGACCAAAGCATGCCAGGGCCCATAGGCACTAAGGCAGACAGAAAGGATACCTTGTGGTGGAAGGGTGCCGGTTCGGCGTGCACTCCCCTTGAATTTGTATTCGACGCTGTGCGGGCCAGCAGCCATTTTTAGAGTTTAGTCAAAGCATTTGCAGAATTGCCAGAAGATCTCAATTTTTTTCCATCAGAGCTCAAAATGGCTTCGCAGCGGACAGTAACTTCCAGGTGGCGGCTTTTCTTTGCAGTTTAGCACTGTTCAAGGTTCAAGGTTCACTACTCAACATTGCTTTTCGGGTTTGTATAAGGTTGGCGTGCGAGAGCGTAATCACAAGTGCTTGAGGTTTTCCAGCTGTGGCGCACTGTGGCACGATGCAAGCCACATTCCTTGCGCTGCTTACTAAGGGTTGCAGAGTTGCAAAGACTCGAAAATCTAGGAGGGTCGATATGGACAGAGGTTCCAGACGTATTAAGAGTTGACTTGAAGTCTCTGGATACAGGTTGCGGGTGCGGAAAGTCCTAAAGGTTCGTGAAGTTCTATTGACTTCCAGAGCCTCCTAAAGGTTGAAGAGAGCAAGTCATGTCACTCGCCCTTCATCCACGTAACTAGCATAAAGCAGACTCGTCCTAATACAGTACTGCGTGGCTCTGCAGCCTCGAAAGCAACTTCTACATGTTGAGAATTTTTCACATTGGAGATGCTCGCATGCTGCCCGAGCTTTGGCAGATGCCTATCATCATGAGGTGTGTGGGTTTGTCAGTCTACTCGATGGAAACAATAGCGACTCCGTCGGGCTGGCAAGCCCAAAGCCGTCTCCAACGAGGAATGCATTGTATACTTGCTGCGTGTCACTCTTCCGACCCAGCGGCCCCAGCGGCCCTGTGCAGAAATTTTCGATTGCGACATCGACTTCATCAGGCATGTGTCCAGCAGCATCTTCTTTGACCGAAAGGTGAAGGAGTTGTTGCATAGAAGTGCTTTTTTTATGCAGGCACGTTTTCAGCAGAAAGCCAGAACTCAACCTAGAAGTCTTTTTTGGCAAGTTGCATTCATGCATTGACTTTTTTCGTGTACCCTCGTTACAAAGTATTCCGTATGCTTGCAAAGCTTCCTTTCGCCCAGGAATGTGGACTACTACGCCTATTATTTTGCGGAGGGCTGAGATAGGTTCAGCGAATGCATCTGCCGAAGTGTTATCCCAGCCATCAGCTTTAGTGAGGTGGACCTTGTCGTGGGCACCCCTCCGCAGAGAGTTTCGGTGATTCTGGACACTGGCTCCGGCGTGCGCCAATTCTGTTTCGAGAGATCGTGCCTCTAGTCGTGAGAAGTGTGGTCTGTTGGCTGCAGGTTTGTGCTTACCCGTGTGCTAATTGTGGACACTGCGACACCCTCGATCGTCTGAGCGATTTTGAGCGTTTCTCCGCAAGTCTGCTGCTAGGTGGCCATCATATTGACCCGGCGCTCGGAGCTCATTCTCGGCGGCCGTTTAAAGCCAGGTGGCATTCGACTCACTCGACACGCATGCCGCATGCGTCGAGGTTCGACATTGGAAAGAGTAGCACAGCGAGATGGCTTCAGTGCTCATCGGGCCGTTGTCCTGTTGGGCGTTGCCAGCAACTTCCCTGGCGCGATGTACGGGTGAGCTTTAGGCTGCCTTTGAGGCGAGTTCTGTTTATGCAAAGTCTTGTTGGTACTAAGGTCGGGAAAATGCAGCTACTACCAAGGCACGTGAGATCATGCACGAAGTTCTTCGCAGGTCTTAGAGTATTGAGTTTACACGTATCAGTCTGTGCTGAGCAAAAGTCTGTTGGCACTTTTCTTATTGCTTGGACCAATCCCATTGGTGTTTCTTCGTACGTGCCTTGTTCTTGCAAGCAGCGTGGAACGAGACAGCACTGCAAACCAGAGTCTGACACTGCCTCGCAGAGAGCCACTTGCTTCCCTCAATCCTAAGCCGACAACTCATGGCAGAGCCATGCCAGGGGGTGCGAAGCTTGCAGGAGTGGCGGCTAGCTAGGCCCGAACCAGGGAAGCGAGCCACACACAGAAGAGATGCTGAAGGTATCAATGCATGCGTCGCACACGAGATGCCATGGCTTTAGAATGTCCATGCATGTCCTGACACAAAGGTTGAAGCCAATTAATCCTGAATGCGGAACAGATGGCGAACTTCAAATGGAGTGGGTAGAAACGACGGGAGTCCACAGCTCACCCTAGCAGAGCAACAACGGGCAGAGGCCTTTGAGGACCCTTCGTAGATCGACTGGAAGGCTTGGATGCGGTCAACCCCAAACCAAGCAAAGAGGCGAAGTGGGGCGTAAATGAGCGTAAGCACATGTTAGAATCTCCTGGGTCCCTGGAACTCTCAGAACAGAGGATGAACAGAGGCGGTGGCTCTAGTCGAGACCTGCATAATTCCGCACTCCAAGACTATGTGAAAACCATATTTTTTTATGACGGTCAAACATGCAGCGCTGGCATAATCGCCTTGTTCATTCGGAGACTGAGGCACCAGTGAGTTGCATCCCGATCGACTGCATAGGGTTCACTTCGGAAGGGTTTAAGTCGAGGCAACGCGATCAATGCAGGCTTCAGCATCAGTGCGCGTCTTTTGCTCGTGCCCATGGTCATGTCATGGCTGACTGCATCGTTAGCTTTCTCCGCGTTGTTCAGTTGTTGATTGTTGTCTCGTGTTGTTTTGTTGTATCTGTAATGTTCCTACTTCTCTCTCCCGTTGAAGTGTTTTGCAGTTGACTGTATACGCTTATCAGCAGCATTGGCTGACTGCTCGAGTGTGAACTTGCGCCCCGTCTTTTAGGAACGTCAGCGCCCACTTGCGACATGATCTACGACCCTCGCATCAGCCCGCTCGCCGAGCGCCGTACCCTGCATGTGATGCAGATGCCTCCACCTTGGACGCGAAGGGAATAAAGTTCGATAAAAGGAGGCAGTGCAGTAACGCTCCTCCAGCTCTACTCCTGCTGTGGAGTTGCAGCGCCGCTTGCACAGGCGCAAGCAAGCTGCCCGCCAGCCAACAAAAAGAGAAGCGGCGGGCCAACAGTTCTCACAGGCACCGCAGTCCTCGTAGCGAGCAAAAGCGCCGAGCCACCAGCTCCTGCAGGCAACCGTGGCGAGCAAAAGTACCTTGCCAGCAGCTCCCATAGGCGCCGCCGGCGGTATAGTGCGCGCAGCCAACGCAGTGAGTGCAGCAGAGCCCGTCCAAGACGGTTTCGGCGCCCATCTTCAAGCAGGCACTCAGGCAGGAGGGCCAACCGTAGCTGCACTTCCGAGGCACCCAAAGTTGCCAAACGGGGCTCCCGGTCTCACAGAGACAGGCCCCGGCACCGCAGAAGCCACAGCCGGGTCAGCCCCCACCTGCCACTGCAGTGGCTACTTGAATAGTGCCAAGTGGTGTCTTTTTGTGTCACTGGTCTTTGTTGTTTCACGACATGCTGGATACCTAGGGCACGAAAAACGCCTTTCAGCACGTGCGTGTCCGGAAGCATTCTATATGACTCTATGTGCTTCATGAAGGGCGAGGCGCACCGCACACCATTCGACAACGCAAAAGGCATGATAATCATGATGCAAAATTTTAGCAGACAAGCTGCTGATGATGCGGCGTAAGGCTTGTGCGGCACGCTGCGTTTGACGCAAACGGCAGCGTCGCTGTCGGTAATGCATCGAACTCCTTCAATTCATGAAGGCTCGTCGTGTCAAACCACCTATCCATCTCGAGTGAAGCTTGTAACTCAGTGACACGCAGGGTAACATGTGCCACTGACGCTGTCATTGCATCGCAATGTCACACTGCATTCATCCCAGCCGTTTCCTGGCTTTCACCATCTTTTCATGGCAGAGGGAGACCGCAGCCGTACACCCCCGCCTCAGCCAGCCTTCTGGCGCTGGACATGGCGCTCCACGGAGAACTCCGATGGCAGCATCACATTGTGGTGGCAGTGATTCGAGGTGAGACGCTCATGGATCAGAACCAAACCTCGTGAAAGCAGACTTCCCAACTGCAGATAGTGAGGGCAGCCCGAGTTCACCTTTGAAGCGCAAGCGTAGTTGCCCCATGTAGCCAGAAGACGACCAACCTAGCTTTGCTGCTGGGTCTGGACCTACAGCCTGCATGATTTAAGAGTGCCAGTCGATGACCTCCCAGAAGCATCTCTGTCGGCTTACGGGCCTTTCTGTCAAAAGGTCACGAGTCTGCTGCAGCTCCGCTACATGGCATGTGTGTGTTTTCCTGCCTGCACATGACGACCGATTTGCACATACTGTCTTGTTGGATCACACGGCCGTTTTTGCTGCAGCGCTGTTTTCAACATGGCGAACTTTGAGTGAGAGAACCATCTTGCTGCAGGGGGGCAGTGCATGCCTGACAGTCACTGCCCAACGAAGACACTGTCAGTGCGTGGTGATATCTGGCCTGATCAGCCAGACATACCTGCTTTCGGATTAATCTGTCGTCGTCGTCTGGTCCTGTCAGTAGCTCGTCGCAGTCATTGGTGCCGTGCCAAAGAGTGTGTGTGTGTGTGAAGTGTTGGAAGCACCGGTGAGTTTTGACACTTGCATCTTGTGTTTGGCGTTGGCAGCCGTGTCAGAAGCTATCCGCGCGAAAGCAAGCTGGATCGGCAGACTTTTTGTGACCAGAAAGTCCGTGAATCCAGAGTACATGGGCAAGAAGCAGGAAAGCCTTTGACAGGGCCCCAACAATCCGGGTCATTCACGATCTTTGCTCCTGCAGGCTACACGGAGGGGTCTTCGATCTCAGGCTTCTGGTTCGAGGATGTGCCATCGCGCCAGCATGCGAGCCCAGTCAGGGTTGCACCAACGATGGGTTCATGCAGGACATGATCAGCCTTGGAGACATGATCCAGCACAACCCACAGGTCAATGCCAGGACATCTAGAAGCCTCGCGGCAATCAACGTTAGGCTGGTTCGATGTGGCTGTCGAATAATTTGAAGGATGGGATGTCATTCCAATGAGAACAACTTGTTCTTCACCCAAAAGGCTTCGACTGAGTTTCAGTCATAGAACGTTCGTGCTTAACATTGTGGCAGCCTTCTCTGTGCAGCTTGTCTTCCCACAGAGCTTTAGGCAAACGGAATTATGGGCATCGGCCCCTCTGCGCTCAGCGGCCAAGCCATTCTGGACAAAATCTTTAAGGAGTGCAGTGTTTGAGCTTCGCTGGAAAGCTGAGGTACTTCTTACGCTCTGTTCGTGTTTGCAGGACCGTGAGCATGTTACCCACAAAGTCTTCTCCATCTGCCTGGCAGAGTTCTACACTGAGAGAGATCATTTAACACTGTCAAACCTGCCTGTTGCTTCATGTTGCAGTCTTGAAGGCCCAGTGCTGTCGCTTTTGAACGAGTGGATAATATGTGGATTCCTTTGTTCGAAGGCACAAGCAATCCGAACCGACAAGCGAAAGCCAGCAGAGAGCTTGCAGTGTCGTTCGACTACATCGATTGCGATGTAGAGCCTTTCCGCGACGTTCAGGATTGAAGTATATGGCTCCGCAAATATGATATTACATTTGCTGTAGGTTGGAGAGACTGAGGCCGAAATCACCCTGTGCGTCTGGGTTAATGTCTTAAATGTGCAAACCGAAAAAACGGGGTCCCAAGCACAGCTCTGCAGAAGCGAAGGGGAGACTTCTATCGACCAAATGAGTGCACATGCTGTGCGCGAGTGGATAACAACGGCGGGACCACAGCCCCCACCGACCGAGGAGTATCACTCGGTCAGGGAAAAGTGTGTTGTCTGGGCACAAGTGTGGAGTTCGGATGCAAATTTGACCATAGCGGTTCAACGTGGCTGTGAATTAAGGTGGGGGGGGCAATTCAACGTGGGGGGCTTTGACGAGTCGTTGAAAGCTCAGTTGAATCAGGCGGCACGGCCCTGAAAGTTGTTAGCAGACAGACACTACGGCAGCTAAGGTTGCACTCAGGCCAAGTCAAAAGGATTCGCTTGAAACCAGGCACGTGGCACCTTCTCCCACCTCTCAGAGTCTTGATGTTGGTAATGCGCTTAAGACACTTATGTGCCACGCACGGTCCGAACTGTTTTCTGTCAGCGCATGAGGTGGCTTCTACAGTGTCCAGTTGACTGCCATGAAGGCTGGCAGTTCCAAGCTACTCATGCATGTGAATTTCGTTTTTCAGTGGCAGGTGAATGGAGTCTCTATTTCCACAACATGGGGCAGCACCATGATTGACAGTGGCACGACGCACGCGGCCAACTTCACAGTGAAGCGAGTGCGCGAGAACGCATAAGCGAGTGAGCAGCGCAGGTACACCTACATGCGCAGCAGTAACTACAGGGCGCTGATGAGCGCCATTGAGACTTATTGCCGAGGTCCGTGTCTTACATCTGAGCTGTCTCCAACGGTCAGCGAAGCGGCAAGACAGGTCACCAGTGCGGCGGCACAAAACATGGCACGAAGTGCTGGACATTGCCCCATGGACCAGAGAAGCAGCTTACTCTGACTGTTGAGCAGTTGAGAGTGTGCACCAGTTCTAGCAGTGACTCCTCAGGTTTCCCCACATCTCTGTCATTTTTGATGGCGTGGAGACGAAGTGGGTTCCAAAAGCGTACTTTTACAGGTGACGGACGGTGATCTGTGTCCCTTGTGTCTGTTGTGGTGTTGATTGAAGGAAAGGGAGAACCGACACTTACTGCTACGGCTTCGAAGATGACGGCCCTCGTGCGAACACTGTGCTGGGGGCGGTTTGGATGACGCACCAGGCCGTTCTCTGAACACCGTGACCCTTGAATTCTAAGCATGCTGCCGTGCAGGACGTCATTTTCGACATGGAAAAGAACGAAGTCGGAATCGCTCCGGCAAGTTGCTGGCTTCCTATTCCCATGCAGAAAACCAGTCCAACAGAGCAAAGCTCCAACGGAGATTCCAGGTCCGGAGTACAAAGATCGTGACCGACCATCGCATTCAGCAAAGGACTGCAACTCGTTGTCTCAATTAGGAAGGCCATACTGCCCAATTGTAGAGCGGGTGCGCAGGCTTCGTCTCTTCCGCCAGCCACCACCGTGACAACTACCCTTGCAACCTCGTCGGCTCCAACCACCGTGGCCACGACAGCACCGACAACAAGTGCATCTGCTCTTGCATCGGTTTCCACAGCGCATCCGACTACTGCGGCCACGACTGCATCGTCCAGCCGCACTAGCACAGGTGGCAACCCAGTCCATGGCCCAGTCAAGCCTACGATCCAAATTCATCACCAGCATAGCCCAGCCTTCAGCCCTGATTTCAGGCTCCGCTCGATGTCGGCCAGACAAAGGGACAGCCTGGCAGCGAGCGCGATCCGCAGCGAGCGCGGAGGTGGGGGCTCATGTGGAGCCTTTCAACGCTGCAGGTTGCCTGGCACCAGTGCGCAGGGCTGAGTGCAAAATCAGGAGTCAGAGTCAGAGGTGAGCGAAGGCTGGTTTCGACGGAAGGTCAAAAGCACGGTGCCAAGCAGCACCACCGCTCCATCCAACCAGGATCGCCAATGTCGCCAACCTGAAACGTGCTTGTTTTTGTACGGTATTTATTTTGTGGCAGGATGCCATCCCTGCTCGGTTCTTGGGACAAGATCCCCTGCACTTCATCGGGGCCATCGTGGCTGGAGTTCTGAGCGTGACCTGGAGCACATGGTACCTGGTAGCAGACAGACACAGACACAGAGCCGCTGTTCGCCAAGTCGCCAAGGCTTGCCTCTGCCTCTTTCTGGTCCGCAAGCTTTGCTTCAAGACGGACAAGCA